ATACCACCTTAGGCTTTGTATTATTGCCTAGATTAACTTCAAAATATTCTTTTAATCTATTTTGAGCCTTTTCTACTACCTCTTGGTCATCTAGCAGGTAGTCCTTCAATTTCCATCTAAATAATCTGCTCTCCTGCTCTTTCAATTCCATTTTTATTGGATTGTGGTCCGAAATGGTTCTGGCCTGAATCTCCACCCGTAGAGATCTTGGGACTAACTCCTTCGAGACCCATATCTGGTCTAGTCTTGATGATGAATCGTTAGGTTCTGAATAGAAGGTGTATTGCTTTTCTAGGGGGTGTCTAAACCTCCAAATATCTACCAAGTTACAATTTTGGACCAAAGAGAAAAAGGTTCTGGGCAGCTTTCCTTCTTTTCCTTTTGTGTCCCTCAATCTGTCCACCTCCAACGACACTACGCCGTTCATATCGCCTAATAGTATGATTTTTTGATCGGCATAATCAGATAACCTTTCTTCCAATCTTCCGTAGAATTCTGACTTATTTACATTGGGCGCATATATTCCAACTATTATAATCTTTTCTCCCTGCCAATTTATTTGTACCGCTGATATCCTTCCTTCTTCATCTTTAAAAAGGGATTTCGCTTCGATTTGTTTCTTTATATAAATAACCACTCCTCTCTTTTTACTCTGATCTGAGGATATGAACTCATTCCCCAATCTTGAATTAATCAGAGTTCTTTTGTGTTTCCTCGCTATATGTGTCTCTTGGAGACATATAATGTCTAATCCTTCCTTCTTCAAAACATGCTCAATTCGATTCCTTTTCCCTTTATCATTCATCCCATTAACATTCCAACTTAATATCTTCAACACCATTGCGATTTAATTAAGGGAGAGAAGGAGAAAAAAAAAAGAAAAAGAAAAGAAGAAAGGATACAACTATTGATTCTGTTTAAACTTCCTCTTCAGACCCTCCTCCCTCCCCCCCCTCCCCCCCGAACCCCCCGCCTCCCCCCCAAATCCCCCCCGTTCCCGCTCCCCCCTCCCCCACCTCTCTCTGCGGTTTCAACTCTTTGTATTTCCTTAGGAATTTGTCTGTTTCTCCCGGATTTGTCAGTTTTTGCCTTTTACTCCTGTATGTGAAGGAGACGCCTTCCGGAAACTCCCACTTAAACTCGATATTATTTCTTTTAAGTATCTGTACTAATTCTTTGTAGGAGTCTCTACGCTTTAGAAGCCTAACCGGAATGTCTTTGAAAATTATTATGTTGTTTCCTCCAATATTTAACCTTTTCTCTCTGCTCTTATGTAGGATCTTATTTTTTATTTCCTTGTCTTTGAATATAATTAAGCAATCTCCTACAAATTTTTTATTCTTTGGAATTTTAGCTTTTAACCTGAAAGCTGATTGTATTGCCTTTTCTACATCTTCTGTTGGTAGTTCCAACCAGAGGGCTAATTCTACTGTTATTTTTCCCTTTATATTTTCCCCTTGACCTTCAGGTATGCCTCTCATCCTAAGATTAGCCTCCCTCTGTCTTAATTCGTTCATAGCAATCCAGTCTTTTAAATCCTCTTGACTTTTGTTTAAACCCAGTATCTCGGCTTTGATTCTTTCTTCCTCGCGTCTTACTTCCTTCAGTTCTACTTTTGTCTTTTTCAGACCTTCCTCTACTGTCTGCGTCCTCCTAAATACCTCTTTCATTTGACTTTTCAGTTCACTGACTGTTTCATCTAACTTCTTGTCCACTTCCCCAATTCTATGTTCTACTTGTTCTAGTTTGCGCTCGACATTTTTTTCGCTCTCTTTTATCTCCGCAAACATCCTCAATATCTCTGCTCTGAAGTCCCCTTCTTGCTTTGATCCCTTCCTATCCACTGGTGTTCCCCCTTCGGGTCTTTTCCCAGTGTTTGACATTCTTAAGTTTGGGAGGTGGTCTAAACTTAGAAGAAAAGGAAAAAGAAGATAAAGCAATATGCTTACAGCACTCCTGCAACAGTTGCCTGTATGCTTAGTTAGTCCTGGCACTCAATTTTGGCAATCTTTAAATTACACCGAAATCCGCTCAGTTGAAAATCACTTAACAGTCTATAAATTGCCAAAAGTCGTCTTACTTCATTCCGTCATACTGCAACCTTGGAAATATCAATAATAGTCCTGAAGTCTCAAGGTTCCGGAGAGTTCAAGAGACTGGAGTTCAGAGAGTTCGAAAAATTGGGTATCTTATGTTTGCGATAAAATGAAATGTGTGTTCTCCCCTCTCCACCGTGGATTCTTGGAAATTTTTATCGAGAGGATCAATTTTGTAATTAACAGATAGAGATTGTCAAATTAGGGAAGTTCCCCCATCGGAGATCCTTATACCTTTTACCTGCGAGAAACCATAAAGAGGAGGGAAAATAGGGGGTGGGGGGGAGGGAAGGGGTCAGGGCGAAGAAGGGCGAGGGAGAGGGAGAAGCCAGGGGAGAGCGGGGGGGGGGGGCGCGGGCGCGGGACCGTTGGGGCAGAGAGAACAGATAGAGGAATAGATGTCCAAAATAGGGATTTTGGTACCTCTCATCTCTTCCTCTTCACCTCCCTCCTCCGACTCTCCTGCTTCATCTTCTGCCTCTGATTCTGCACTGCTCTCTGCCACCGACTCTCCCAGCACACCAAGTCCTGTTGCTTCTTTAACTTCCAACACCTCCTTTCTCCAATCTTCTCCCTCTGACCACTCATGGTCGTCCCACCCCAGCTGGTTCCTGCCACCATTCCTCTGTCTTCAGCCAGGCCATGACATCACTCCTGCTTTCGCTGGTGCAATTGCTGGCCATGGAAGCCACACATGTGTCTTCACTCCGTGGAGGCACAGGGACCCAGGATTCGCATGCGCGCAGGAGAGAGAAAGGAAAGGGGCTAAGTGATTTCCTTTGCAGCGCCCTTGCGAGTTGTAAATCTAAAGCTCGGAAGCCTCATTAAAATTAAGCTTCTGTCAGAGCTAATTTTTTATTGCCACTTCTTTTTTCTCTCCTTTTAAAAATATCCATCCCATTAGGACAACTCGTTTCTCTCTCTTTGTTCTGGGAGCATCCCCTAATCTCCCTCATTAACGCAAACACCTCCATTGGCGGATCTTTATCTTCGCTGGTGCAGTTTCTTGCTTTGTACTTTTTAATGCATTAATGTGTTTTGAAGCTCTGTAAAACCGCTACACTAATTATTTGATTGGGGCTAACGAAGCGATTTCGCTGGCGGTCACGTGAGAAACGAGACAGATTCACACGGGGGTTTTGTGTGTGTTTTTTTAACCACAGGTAAGCCTTGAAGCCCAATTCACTCACCCACACACTGGGAATAGCTTGCTTTGCTCAGCCTGGTTATGGACCCAGGCCTTTGCAGGAGCTTCGTGTCAAATCAGATTCCTTATGTATTGGTGTTCATTTATAATGTAACTGCTTTCAATTTCGTTTTATACTGAGCTTTTTAAATGTATGGAGTGTGTTGTGATTTTAACCTGCTCTGAATTTGCTTTCTGCGATGAAGAGTAGCCTTATAATGTTTTAAATAGATCAATAAATCAATAAATCTATTGCTTGCCTTGAAGGAGGATAGAGAAGAGTTGAGTGTACCGCCTAGTCTATGTAACACTTCTTCTTCTTCTTCTTCTTCTTCTTCTTCTTCTTCTTCTTCGGCGGGTACTCGTAGCCAAGTAAGATTGTCTCCCATGAACACGGTTTTAAAAGTGAGTCCATAAGTGTCTGTGGAGGCCAGTTCTGGATCCACACATCCTTCCACAGTGGGGACATAGGTTTCCGGGCCGGAGTTGATCACGGTGAGGGTTTGCCATGTGTGCCTTCCTCTTAACACATTTCTTCCTTGCGTCCTGAGTTCGAGTGTCTTCAAAGCTCATGACACCTTTGGTAAAGCCTGTTCTCCAACTGGAGTGCTCGCAGGCCTGTGTTTCCCAGTTGTCGGTGTTTATAGACAACGGTGTTTATTTTTAAAGATTTGCCTTGAGAGAGTCTTTAAACCTCTTTTGTTGACCACCAACATTATGCTTTCCATTTTTAAGTTTGGAATAGAGTAGTTGGGTTGGATGACGATAATCAGGCATCCGCACAACGTGACCAGTCCAACAAGTTGAAGAATCATTGCTTCGACACTGGTAATATTAGCTTCTTCCAGTACACTGGCATTAGTTCACCTGTCTTCCCAAGTGATATGTTTTCGGAGACACCGTTGATGGAATCTTTTGAGGAACTGGAGATGGCATTTATAAGTGGTCCATGTTTCGCAAGCACATTCATTGCTTTATATTCATTGCTACACCTGCTTTTGCATCTGTCCCCAGACACTGCTGGCTTGCAACCCCAAGATTGTCTGGTTCTTGGTCTAGAAAAGGTTTCCCATCCACAGTTTGCTAGATGGGGCTTCTGTTGCCGAGACCACATAACACCGGTCTTGAAAGACCTACACTGGCTCCCAGTACGTTTCCAAGCACAATTCAAAGTGTTGCTGCTGACCTTGAAAGCCCTAAACGGCCTCGGTCCAGTATACCTGAAGGAGCGTCCCCACCCCCATCGTTCTGCCCAGACACTGAGGTCCAGCTCCAAGTGCCTTCTGGCGGTTCCCTCACTGCGAGAAGCCAAGTTACAGGGAACCAGGCAGAGGGCCTTCTTGGTGGTGGCACCCGCCCTGTGGAACACCCTCCCATCAGAAGTCAAAGAGAAGAACAACTACCAGACTTTTAGAAGATATTTGAAGGCAGCCCTGTTTAGGGAAGCTTTTAATGTTTGATGTATTACGGTATTTTAATATTTTGTTGGAAGCCGCCCAGAGTGGCTGGTGAAGCTCAGCCAGATGGGTGGGCTATAAATAATAAATTATTATTATTATTATTATTATTATTATTATTATTATTATTATTATTTTCTACTACACAATCCTCACTGGCAAGCTTCCAAGCGGAGTATTTTTTTTGGGGGGGTTATGTCTGTGCTGGGCCCCACCCACTTTGTTCCTCATAGCCTTGTTTCTCCTTGTGTCCTCTTGCAGTTCCTCGCCTCCCGGAGTTTTCGAGAAGGAATACGAGATCTATCGGGATTACGGCTCCGACGGGCAGCGGATGCAGTACAGGTGAGTTGCCCTGATGCTAAAGAGAGTTTAGAAGTTAGAGTTTAATTAGAGTTTAAAAATTATAATTTGGATGATAATTTGGCCTTTTTTATTTTAGTTTTTTATTTTAATTGGATTATGATTTGATATGTTAACTGGATGCTTTTTTATTGGAAAATTAATAAAAATGATTTAACAAAAAACAACAAAAACGGACCTCCGGAACGAATTAAGTTCGTAACCAGAGGTACTGCTTTACAGTGCTAGATGGACCCAACAGTCTGTATAAGGGGGCTTTCTGTGTTGCTAAGTGGTAACCGGAGAGCAGAACGCATGGTGCGCAAACCTGTGGAACTAACCCTGTGTGCTGTGGTCTCCGCAGCAAAGTGCCCAAACCCTTGTTACCCGTCCCTGCTCACTTGGGAGGCGTTGGGTTAAAAACGCATGAAGAGTAAATAAGGCACATCCCAGCTGCTTCCTGCAGCGCCAAGAAAAGCATCACCCGCCACAGACTTGGAAGCAAGGCGTCATGCACAAGGCAATGATTATTCCAAGCTTGCTCCAGGGGTTATGAAGCCTGCATTTCAAACAGGAGGCTGCCAGCATCTCCTGAGCATTTGAAGTCTTGCGAATTGCGCCCAGCTGTTTGCACAGGGGGAGGCGACTGGGTTTAGCTGGCGGTCAATATTTGCTTTCATTTCTCATTAATAGCAATCCTCAGTCTTTAAAGCAAAGCACCCAGGTAGCTAGGGAACGGCTGTTGCATCTGTATTTTCTGGGCTCAGTTTGCACTGGCTCAGTGTTGTCTGCCTTGCCTGCTGCCAGGGCTTCCCATTGGGTACCTTTCTCAGCCCTGCTGGGAGATGCCCTGGGATCGAATCTGGGATCTTCTGCATGAAAAGGAGGTGATCTACCACTGGCCTACGACACCCCCCACCCCCGATGTTCTTGCTTGCCCCATCCAGGGCAAGCCAGACCGTAAGGAAGTGGCAATACCTAGAGGGGTGTGTGAGAACAGGGTGCCATTGGCCTGACCTAGCAGGCCCTTCTTTCGTTCTTACCTTGTTACAAGGTGTGCGTCTGAACTCAAACGTGGGTCCGAATACACTCAGGTGTATTCATGCACACGATACGAACAGATTTAGGAGCTTTTGCTAGAGTTATAGCACCCGTCTGTTACGCAGATCTGTTTTCTCTTAACCATATGCCCACGAGATGTTCGCACACCAGAGGAATAAAGAAAAACGGGTTTCTTACTTGAAATGAAAAAGAGAATGGAAGATACGGAGATAAATAACTATGCAACTTTTAGAAGGCATCTGAAGGCAGCCCTGTATGTTGTTGTTGTTAGTCGTGTCCGACTCTTCATGACCCCCTGGACCAGAGCACGCCAGGCACTCCTGTCTTCCACTGCCTCCCGCAGTTTGGTCAAACTCATGCTGGTAGCTTCGAGAACACTGTCCCGCCATCTCGTCCTCTGTCGTCCCCTTTTCCTTGTGCCCTCCATCTTTCCCAACATCAGGGTCTTTTCCAGGGAGTCTTCTCTTCTCATGAGGTGGCCAAAATATTGGAGCCTCAGCTTCAGGATCTGTCCTTCCAGTGAGCACTCAGGGCTGATTTCCTTCAGAATGGAGAGGTTTGACCTTCTTGTAGTCCATGGGACTCTCAAGAGTCTCCTCCAGCACCAAAATTCAAAAGCATCAATTCTTCAGCGATCAGCCTTCTTTATGGTCCAGCTCTCACTTCCATACATCACTACTGGGAAAACCATAGCTTTAACTATACGGACCTTTGTCAGCAAGGTGATGTCTCTGCTTTTTAAGATGCTGTCTAGGTTTGCCATCGCCTTTCTCCCAAGGAGCAGGCGTCTTTTAATTTCGTGACTGCTGTCTTTCGTTCTTACATTGTTACAAGGTGTGTGTCTGAACTCAAACGTGGGTCCGAATACGCTCAGGTGTATTCATGCACACGATACGAAGAGATTTAGGAGCTTTTGCTAGAGTTACAGCACACGTCTGTTACGCAGATCTGTTTCCTCTTAACCATATGCCCACGAGATGTTCGCACACCAGAGGAATAAAGAAAAACGGGTTTCTTACTTGAAATGAAAAAGAGAATGGAACATATGGAGATAAATAACTATGCAACTTTTAGAAGGCATCTGAAGGCAGCCCTGTATAGGGAAGTATCATGGGAATTGTGGTTGCTTGTGTGTAAACCTCCAACTGCTCCAAACTGCTTGGGGTGGTTGCGTCTTTCCCTAGCTGAGCAGCCCTTTTGCGCGGCTGCTTCAGTCGCTGGCAGAATCCGTCAGTGGGCGTTTCCTAAACTTCTTCCAGCATAAGAATTCCTTAACGGACAACCTCCTCCTCGCCTCTCTGCGCGGAAGCCTTCTGCGCAGAGTGGGCGTGCCAAGCGGTGGTCCTCCACTCTCCTCACTGACCTCACTGGAAGAGTCTCGGAGCCTCCCCTCCGAAGTGCTCTCAGCCTCTCCTTTCTTCCTGGTGTCACCTGGACTTCCTTCCCCAGCGGAAGCTCTCTCTCTTCCCTTACTGGTTCCCTCTCCGGCATCATCGGGGAGCCTCACCTCTCCACTCTGCTCCGATGTCAGTTCCCTGACATCCCCCTCCCTCCCAGGGCCCTCCCCCTCCCCCGTCCGTTCCTTGGACGGTGATGCAGGAAACCCCCTGAAGGAACTCTCCCCTTCATCTGATGATTCAAACACCTCTCTCCATCTGCTGCTGTCTCTTCCCGCTCCCCAATCTCCCCAGTCGGAATCTTCTCCTTCGGATAATTCCCCTTCCTCCTCTTCGGAAGCGGGAAATCCCACAAACTCTTCCTCCTCATCAGTGGTACCAAATTGCTCCCCCCAGAACCTCTCTGGTGGTTTGGGTTTTCTCGGATACCTGCGATGAAACTCCTCCTGCAGATACTCATCCCTAATCTCTTCTGCTGGGACCCGTGTGTTTTCCGAGTCTGACTCCCCCTCCCACGCCACCAAGTATTCCACTCGCCCCCCTCTCCACCTGGAATCGAGAATTTCAGCTGCATGGCCACTGAGTTCCCTTTCCTCCATCTGTGGATGCAAGGGTGTTTCTCTTTGTTGACCCAGAAATTCCCTCCCCTCCCTGAACGGTGAGAGTAAGGACCTGTGGAACACTGGGTGCAGTTTCATGTGAGCGGGCAATTTGAGCCTAAAGGCCACAGGATTCACCTGTTGGGCTACTTCGAACGGTCCCAATCGCTTTGGCCGTAATTTCTTACACCCTCCTTTGAACGGTAACCCTTGGGTAGACAACCACACCTGGTCCCCCACTCTTATGGTTTCCCCCTCTCTGCGGTGCTTGTCTGCCTGCCTCTTGTACTCTTCCTTTGCCCTTTCCAGGTTAATCTTAAGCTGTTGGTGTAAAGCCTCCATTTCTTCCACAAATTGTTCAGCCGCTGGAACACTCCACCTTCCCTCCCCCTCCCCGGGGAAAGCCCTGGGGTGACACCCGTAATTCGCCATAAATGGACTCATCCCCGTGGACATATGTTCCGCGTTATTGTATGCAAACTCAGCCAGCGCTAATTTGTCCACCCAATCGTTCTCCCTCTCGTTGACGTAGCAGCGTAGGTATTGTTGAAGTATGCTATTAGCTCTCTCTGCTTGTCCGTTGGTCTCTGGGTGTCTGGCCGTCGAGAAACTCACCTCGACGTCCAGCAGACTCATCAGCTTCCTCCAGAATCTGGAAGTAAATCCTCAAGGGGGTGCCATGCAACCTGAAAACATGCTCTACAAACAGTTTTGCTGTTTCTTCTGCAGACACCGCATGTGAGCAAGCAATAAAATGGCACATTTTGGTCATCAAGTCAGCTACCACCCTTACTGCCGTTTTTCCCCTGGCCTTGGGTAAATCAGTCATAAAATCAATTGATACCACCTCCCATGGTCTCTCTGGTGTGGGTAAAGGCTCCAGTAACCCCGCGGGTGCTGCCCTCTCCCCCTTAGCTCTTTGGCAGCGCTGGCACCCGTGTACGTATTCCTTCACATCCTCTCTCACCCGTGGCCACCAGAACTGCCTGGTGACCAGTAGCATAGTTTTGTGTTGGCCAAAATGTCCCGCCGTGGGGTTGTCATGTAGTTGTTTGAGTATTCTGCTCCTCAAATCCCTCTCAGGTATGTACAACGCACCCTTATAGTACAATGCCCCGTCCTTTACCTCAAATTCCCCCTGATTTTCTTTGGCACTTCGGATCTCCCTGATCTTGGTTTGTGCATACCGGTCGTCCCTCGTCAACCCGGCCAGCTCTTGTCTCCCTACTAACACTCCCCCACACACCCATCGGTCCTCGGGTATGACGTGACGTACTTCTGGCACTCCCTCCCCTTCCGAGTACTCGGGCTTGTGGGAGAGGGCGTCTGCTCTGACGTTTTCCTTCCCAGGTACGTACCTAATCTCAAAATTAAACTTGGAAAACTCCTGTGCCCACCGCACCTGTCGTTGGTTCAGTACTCTCGCCGTTCTCCAATATTCCAGGTTCTTGTGGTCAGTACACACCTGGATCTTGTGCTGTGCACCTATTAGAAAATGTCTCCAGCGTCAAAAGGCCTCGTGAATTGCCAACAGCTCCCGATCATACACCGTGTAGTTTTGCTCTGACTTGTTCAGCTTCCTTGAAAAAAAAGCGCACGGCTTCCACTGTCCCCCATCTCCCGGCTGGAGCAATATGCTCCCCACCGCTCTGTCTGACGCGTCCGTCTCCTGCCTCATTGGCTTCTGCAGATCCACATGTAGGAGTTGCTCTTCCGATGCGAAAGCCCTCTTAAGCTTTTCAAAGGACCGCTGGGCCTCTTCCGTCCATTCAAACTTCTTCTTACTGCTGAGACAATCCGTTATGGGTGCCGTTAAATGGGCGAAGTTCTTGATGAACTTCCTGTAGAAGTTTCCAAACCCCAAGAACCTCTGTACGTCCTTCCGGTTCTTGGGAGGCTTCCATTCTAGCACTGCCTGCACCTTGCCTGGGTCCATGGCTAAGCC